AGATAAATGCGGTAATATATTATGTATATACAAGAGAAACTTTCACTGTCGGTTCCGTAGCTAGTTTTTTTTAAATCTGAGAAAATACTCATTCCTATTTTCATATATGGATTTAAGAAGGCAATGAACTAACTAATTGCATGCTATGGTGTATAGTTTCGATGAAACACGAGTTTAGTAGGTCTCCGCGGAACACTGCTATTAGAGGTTTGAGACGATAAGTATGACTCTTAATACCAATAAGATAAAAGCAAATCTCATTTTTTTTTGTGAGTGTTGTTTAATTAGAACGAATTGTCTAGAACCGATTCTATTATTTATAAATGGTCTGGTTTAGATAATTTTCATTTATTTCTATCAAAATATGTACATATATAAAATATGCTACAAAATTTATAATATAAAACTTTAAAAAAGTATACAATCTAAAATATGCGTATAAAATTAACATATAAATTAAAAAACTATAGATGTCTGTCATACACAGATTTTCTTAATACCTATGTATCTTTAGCTAATATTATAGAAATGAATTTGTTTGTTGGTTTAGATTTCTTTCAGAAAGCTACGGAATAAAGAATTGATGTATGTGCACAGATATACATAAATATCTATACATATAATAAAACTGTAGAGGTCGAATGTCTGTACATAGAAAAAAATGCTAAAAACCGAGTCAGGGGGATGTAAGAAGAGAAATAGAACTCGTCCAGATTATTTCATTTTTTTTTGTTTCTCTGTCTGTTTGTATGGGCTAGTCGCCGAAACTGTTGGACCGATTTAAATGAAATTTTGCACGGTGGTACCTTATATCCCCGGTCAACATTTTAGATACTTTTCATCCCGGAAAATTAAAGAGATCCCGTGGGATAGTTAAAAAAAACTATAGTATACAGCTTAGTACATAAACACTTCTGATTGGATTTTAATGAAACTTTACAATAATCATAGTTCATACATCAGAATAACAAATAGGCTACTTTTTGTATACCGGAAAAATATACGGTTGTAGCGAGGACGGAGGGTGAGCCGCTAGTCTATACATATAATAAAATTTTAAATAAACCGAATCCTTACATTAAATATTTTTTGGAAAATCTTATTGAAATAGACATTATTATCGATATAGATGGCCGAATCTATAGTTTTTAGATTTTTGTCTGTCTGTCTGTTACCGCAGCACGGAAAAACTATAGGAGGGATTTTGATGAAATTTAGTATGATGGTAGATAGTTATCCGGGTCAACATATAGGGTACATTTTACTGCGAGAATATACCTTATCTCTAAGAAATTTATACTAACAGCTAAAAAGTAATTAGGGACGAACCCGAGCGGAGCCAAGGTGAGTCGTTAGTAAACTATAAAGTAATACCAACAATAGCAAACAAGAGGACAATAAAAATTTGAACTACACAAATAAAGTAAAGGACCTAAAGATCCACTTCAGTAAATTGTTTCTTTCGAATTAAGAGTAAACTTGTAACTTGTTGGCCCTATCGGCCTTGATAGCGTCATCGGAGATGCGAGGCCAGCCTTACCTTACATAATAATATATGTATTATGTATATACATACCATGCACAGAACGTGTTCAAAAAACAAAAAATAATAATTGTTTACATTCCTTCTTTCCTCATTTCATAGACATTACATGTTAGGCAAAGATCACTTACGCCAGACTTCTTTCTTAATCGGATTGAAATTTTTATAAGGCCATACAAATTACATAGACATATTTTGCCCGTTTCACTGTATCATGTTATTGTCGGTCTGTAAAATCTGTTCAGTAAAATAACTAAAATTTTTATATCCCTTTTTGCTCACTCCTAATAATTAATTATTATTATTCCTCTTTTTTATAGCAGCTATAGAGACGGGTAACATTGAATTTTTTATTTCCTTAAAGATTTACATATTCGTCAAACAATTACAAGACGCTCTTTATGTTTTATTATTCTTAAAAAAACATAGATTTAGACTCGGTTCTCTCTTTGTTATACCGTACAGCAGGAATTTTGAAACTATATTTGTATATCTACCATTTCTATTGAAACTGGTAAGTTATTTTTTATGATAAACTAGCGACTCACCCTCGCTCCGCTCGGGTTCGTCCCTACTTACGTTTTAACGTTTAGTATAGATTTCTCAGAAATGAAATATTTTCCTGCAATAAAAAGTATCCTATATGTTGATCCGGATAACCATCTATCATTATACCAAATTTCATCAAAATCCCTCCAGTGGTTTTTCCCTGATGCGGTACCAGACAGACAGACAAAAATTCTAAAAACTATAGATTCGGCCTCTATATCGATAATAATGTCTATTTCAATAAGATGATCCAAAAAATATTTCATGTACAGATTCGGCTCAGTTAGAATTTTATTATATGTACCTATATAGTAGTAGAATTTTATTGTAAGTATATTAAATTGTAAAGCATTTTTAATGTAAAAAACAAACAAACTTCTCAAAACTGTTTTTCCTTTTATTTTACATATTCGTTTTTTAAATATTCTGTTGCTATATTCCGTCTTATATTAATTGTTGTTTTGTAAATATTTATAAAGATTGTAGTATAATTTATAATTTTATTTTAAAAACATGGAATGATTATTTGAAAGATTAAAAATAAGTTTTCTTCATAATTTAAAATCAACAAAGAAACTGAAATTAATTATTATATTTTTATTAACTTGTAGGTTTATAATACATAGGTACTTACCTGTGCATAAGTTATTTGTTTCTTGATACATATTATAATTCAAATAGATATCTATTTGAATTATAATATAATTGTAAGAATATATTATAACTAGCGTTACAGCTAGGTTATATACATTTACAAGCTTTCATCCCCATTTTCACTTCCTGAAGCCATGATTTCCGGGATAAAAAGTATCCTATGTCCTTCCCCGGGTCTCAAACTATCTTCTTAACAAATTTCATCTTAATCGGTTCAGTAGATCCAGAGATTACCCCCTACAACGTCACAAACTCACAAACTTACAATTCTCAAATATTACCTCTTTATAATATTAGTATAGATATTATGATTTGCCATCGTAACGTTACATGAGACACAAACTTGGATCTAATGATTTTATGAGAGAATCTGCGATTTAAGTTATTATTAAACGTATGTAAGAATAGGTAAATCTTTAAAAAACTCAAGTGGTTATGTTGTATGACTTCGATATTTGTTACCTAAGTCTCTATTTAAATAGAGAAAAAGATATCACAGATTTAATACTCCACATTTACATATATTACTATTTTCTAGCTATAATCATTACTTATTTTTTAAATATAAGAAACACGGTCATGCAGTAATTATGCTTGCTTTTCATATTTTTACAGCGTAAGTCGAGAACTATACACGCAAATAATAGTATTTAGTAATTTCATACGAACTCCTTATTTTAATGGTTTATGTGACTTATATCAATACTAGTATAACCCGCGGCTTCGCTCGTGGTAAAACTGCATAAAAACCCTAAAAAGGTAGGTTTCATACAAACTTTCATTCCCTATTTTATACCCTAACAGCATGAATTTCTGAAAATGCTAAAATACGTATTTATTCAATTATATTGAAGAGCATTAATACCAAGTTTCAAGTAGATAATGCTGATCATAAATATTTTTGGGTTGTATTATAATTTATAAAGTATTATCCCGTGGTAATGAGATAATTTCCCGAGGTGAAAAGTAGCCAGGCGTCCAACTATGTCCACACAAAAAATTACGTCAATCCGTCACTCGGTTTTGACGTGAAAGAAGGACAAACAAACAAACAAACAAACAAACAAACAAACACACTTTCACATTTATAATATTAGTAAGTATGGATTAGTAAATATTGCAATGAAAAAGTTCTAGTAAACAAATATTTAAGAAATATTTTTTTATATCTAATTTATTATTATGTAAACACTGGAAAATTCCTTTAGTTATTTTGTAATCTGTTGAAGACAATAAAGAATTAATTACTTTTCGTAATTGAAGTACAGTTTTACTCTTATTTCACACAAGGACAATTCTTAATGAAAAAATAGGCTGAAAATACGTAAATGAGGCACTTTTAATTATTTGCAAAAGAATCGGTAATTTTTAGTATAGGTACGTACATTAAGTTTTTTGTCCCGGTCACGTCCATTGCCTTGCTCACGTTTTACATAATATTATTTCATTTGCAAGACTTACTTAATAGATATTTTTATCTGTAGACTTTACAGAAAGACGTTTTCGCATAAACGTTGTGTGTAACTTGTGTATAACTCATGATTTCGATGTTTACTGCTAACTGCACTTGTATTTGGGTGCATGCACTTGTACTTGCCATTGTCAGTGAAAGGTGTCGTGGCCGAAATCGGCCGATATATCTTTATATAATATAAAGATATATCGGCCGATTCTGCCTTAATATTATTGATCTCAGTGTTGGCATTAACAACTCTATCATATAAATTAGTCTAAACATCTGTATATCTGTATAATTTAAAAAGTACTTAATCACCAGATGTTGTTATTTCCTGTTACTGTAGTTTAACAACGTCGTATAACTTCGCATCCATATAATATAATAATAATTATTTTATAATATAATGATTGTTGATGTTTTATTGATGTAATATATTTATTATTTTTTATAATTATGTATTTCAAATACATATAACAAAAACTAAGGTCTTGTACATACCCCACAAATTGTTCCAAGTATTAGCTTTGGCTGCTATCAGCTATGTATAATCTTAATAAACACTTGTCACACGATTTTTCCTTTTGTTTACTTTGTTATATTCCATAAATTGTATCAAAACAAGGTTAAAAATAAGTATGAGAAGTTTTTCTTGACAATTTCCTGTATTATTTTGAGGCAATTGTGAAACTAGAATCCCATTTATTTCCTTATTTTTAAATGACTTCGAAAAAGAAGGACTTAATTAATTCTATTAGCGATATCAGTGGTCTTTTTTTTGTTTCAGGTATATTAAATATGTTACAAGAAGATTGCATCAGCAGATTTTTCGATGACAATGACAATAATATACGAAGTCCAGATAGAATATCTTTATCATCTTTAAAAACTTTAGAAACGTCCCAAGATGTAAGTTTGACGTCACAAGAATCAGACACAGAACTAAGTTTATCCCAACTAACTATAGAAGAACCGGAGCCATTACAAATATTGCCTTTTTTCAATTTAACTCCTCGGGCCATGCCACGTTCTCCACACTATGTCATTGAAGAAGAATTTTCATCAAACCCCTGGGCTATGTTAATAGCAACCATTTTTCTTACAAAAACATCAGGCAAAATAGCCAGGCCGTATATGAAGAACTTTTTTGAGGAGTGCCCGACGCCATACCACGTACTAGAACATCCTCCTAAATATTTGGAAACGTTTTTCAAAAACTTGGGTCTAAAGAAACGGGGACAAATGATTTGGAAATTGAGTTATCAATTTGTTTCTGCCAAGTGGCGGCGAGCGAGTGATCTCTGCGGCATCGGAAAATATGGCGAAGATGCATATAGGATATTCTGCTTGGGACACACTGATTTAGACCCTGATGATAGATACCTAAAGCTCTATTTGGATTGGCTGGCGACTACCATGTTTGTGGAAGACAATAGCATGACGGATTGCGAATACGTAATCGAAGATCCGGTTTTAAACTATTATAGAATTACTTTGCGAAATGGCGCTTAGTGTATTCATACAGTCCCTAAAGACTATACGCGTAACATTTTCTATAATATGAATCAAAAAATGTTTTCTACTTCATCAGCGTGTCTCGAATAAAAGTTAACATGTGGCATGATCCGATCTATTTTTAAATGATAAGCGTAGATAAAAGATAAGCCACGCTACTTATTATATTTGACTAGTATAATATATCGCGCGAAGAATCGCTATCCAAGACAGTATAATATATTCGGCAGTATATAGGTATTGTGGTGAGTCACTAGTCACTACCTCCCTGAGATTGATAACATCACACTGTGGTCACTACGGCCAACGACAATGGACATAACGCGATTTTAGCTGTTATATAATATATTAATATTATTATTTTTTATATTAATACTATAACAAGATGAACAAGTAAATTACACATACAATCAATCCTTCACACGATTTATTAAAAGTTAATCGAATTTATGCATAGGTGCCGATAACCTGGTAATTTTTAAGTTTTTAATTAATGTAAATTGCGTAAATTATTTTAAGGCTAACATTATTATCATTGATTAGTTTTTGTACATTATTGAATATTATAAAAATATATATATATTTTATGATGCTATTGTTTAGAAAAATGTATAATAAATAATTTGGGCTGGCAACAAAAAAATTCCAAGACTCATGTATCAAATAATTTTAATAGTATAAGATTTTTATTAAATAATTAAATTAGTATTTTTATTAATGTTTATATTAAGTAATAATAAAAATTACGTTTAAAAATATGGGCATTATTAAAATATACTTAGCACATAAGAAAATATAATATGTGAAAATTATTTAGTCGTTTTCATAAAGGTATAAATTAATAAATAGGTACTTAATTTAGTTTTTTATATTAATGTTTTTAAGGTTTGCTACTTTGAACAGACCACCTCAATTAAAAATAATAGTGATGAATAATAATTATTTTTTAAATAAAATGTTAAAAAAGATTTGTTTCTTTTACTGTAAAAAATATAATTATTATCATAAATTACAGATAATACGACACAAAGATAATTAAAAAAAAGTGTTACCTTCTTTATTTTAACCTGCAGAGCTAGTCACTGCATGTCACTTCGTCCGCATATTATGTTGGATATCTAATATCTATATTTTAAATAAAACTATCTTTTCGGATTTTGTCGCGGATTTATTTGCATTTTTGTTTGGAAACAAAAATGCAAATAAATCCGCGACAAAATCCGAAAAGATAGTTTTATTTAAAATGTTAAATATTCGCGTAAATCTAAGAAAGTATAATATCTATATTATCTAGAAAAGTTAAGTTTATTATTAATTCAAACATTTTTACATTACATAAAAAATATTAAAAAGAGATCTGCTTTTCTCAAGAAATGCAACAGACAGAAAGTACATTGGTTTATATGTATATATTTGACATATTTTTTTGACATAAGCAAATATCCTCATCAAATCAAAATATACTTTATTCAAATAGACTTTTAAAAGCTTTTGACTTTTTAATCGTCAATTTTACATTTTAAATTAAAATTAAATGTCAGTGTAGTCATTCCGTGAGGAAGCTACCACAGGCTCGAAATGCTGTTTTCTGCTGAGAAGAACCGGCAATTACTAAACCGATTTAGATGAAATTTGGTAAGAAGATAGTTTGAGACCCAGAAATCATCCCTTAAGGTGGTGAAAATGAAAGTTTGTATGGGGAATCTCATACGTAGAGACGAACCTGAGCGAAGCGACAGTGAGTCGCTAGTGTATTAAATATTCAAAATACTCAAATGTTGCATTTAATTTTTAAGATTGAAGTAAATAGAAAAATAATTATAAAGCCACAATAATGTTATTATAAATGTGAAAGTAATTCTGTCGGTTTGTTACCTTTTCACGCTTAATCTGCTTATATCAATCAAATATCCTCATCATGAAACTCTCAAACTGATTTAGATGAAATTTGATATGGAGATAGTTTGAGACCCTGGAAAGGACATAGGATAGTTTTTATTCCTTAAGGGGGCGAAAACGGGGGTGGAAGTTTGTGCCAATCATTTCACAAGTAAGGGATATAAAACTTATCATATCTATGTATATAATAATAATGACAATCCATCTCATACTAAGCGTCAAATTAAGTTCTATAAAAATCCAGTCCCAGTTTCTCTAAACTATAAATTTAAGTTCAAATTACTGCAAATACTACAAATAAAACAAGTAGATACAAAGATAATCAAACTTTCAATGTTATCTCTTGTCCATTTTTATTTTGTAAAAATCGCATTAAGTAATAGATAAAATAATAAAAACCATATTATAAAGTTATGATCCTATAACCTATTTAATACATTTATACATAGATGACAAATAAATCCGCGACAAAATCCGAAAAGATAGTTTTAGTAGGGGAGCCCAAGAGGGGATTTTCCGTAGTTACTCGAGCGCGGCAGATTAACATAAAAGAGGTTACCTTGCACTCTATTGAGTACTTTCACCATAATATAAGTCTTCTATATAAAGGGGCGCGTCTAGGGAAGCCGATTAAAATATTTAAAAAATGTTTTGATAAGGTAGAAATACTTGAAACCGTCAGATTAAGGTGTGGTAGGCTAGTTACATCCTGAAAAGTGTCCAATTTAATAATCTGCCGATTTGCACAAGCCTAAGAGGCAAAAATCATCATAAACTTTATAGTCGATTTTTGCCTCTTCGGCTTATGCAAATCGGCAGATTATTGAATTGGACACTTTTCAGGATGTGACTAGCCTACCACACCTTAATCTGACGGTTTTAAGTATTTCTACCTTATCAAAACATCTTTTAAATATTTTAATCGGCTTCCCTAGACGCGCCCCTTTATATAGAAGACTTATATTATGGTGAAAGTACTCAATAGAGTGCAAGGTAACCTCTTTTATGTTAATCTGCCGCGCTCGAGTAACTACAGAAAATCCCCTCTTGGGCTCCCCTACTATTTTATTTAAAATGTCAAATATTCGCGTAAATCTAAGAAAGTATTATAGTCTGATTTGCTTTAAAAAAAGGTGAAATTATTCTAAAACCTAAAAACTCAACAAAAATATATTATCTCATACAATTAATATTTAATATAACAAAACGATATAAATATTAAATTGGAAATTTACAAATGAACTTTTTTTCGGCGGGTAGACACAAAAGAGTTTAGACGTGATTTAATAGCTCCACATTATTTAAAACTTTAAAAATAATTATAGAACATATGTATTAAAGTTTACATTACCAGTGCTTAAGTTGACTGTAAACTCACTTTCACACAAAATCACCACACTGAATTATGGACTCTCCAATTGAGCAGCTTGTGAAGAGCATGGACGAGCTATCGTCTATGTTTAATACAAGAATGGTCGAATTTGAAAAGAACTTGCAACCACCTGGTTCTACTGCTTCTAATCCTACGGTAAAAGCTTTGGCCGCAGAATTTTGTACTTTCAAGACTTTCATATGGAAGTCCCTTGGCATACTCAAATCTCAGGTGGAGCTTGTTGCCCTTGGTTTGGATCGCTTGGAGACTCAATCACGAAGGAAGGTTCTTCTCTTTCATGGCATTAAAGAAGATAAGGAGGAAGATGTCTTGAAGAAAATCATGTATGTGTTAACCAGCCAAATGAAATTGTCAGACTCAAAGCCAGATTCAATTGAATCCTGCCACAGGTTAGGTGTAAAGAGGGAATCAGCCAGGCCCATTCTTGTGCGGTTCACAGATATGCAAGCACGTTCCATTGTTTGGAAGGCTAAAACTTCTTTGAAAGGCACTAAAACAACTGTGACTGAGTTTTTAACAAAGTCCCGGCAAGATGTGTTTGTTGCTGCTCGTGGCCACTTTGGGATGAAGAAGTGCTGGTCTGCAGATGGTGTAATAGTAATTCTTCTCCCTGATAAGTCCCGCAAAAAAGTTACTTCCTTGTCCGAGCTCAAAAAACTGATGACACAATATACTAAAACTGACAATAACTAGCACGGTTGTATTTGTTTATAACTTTTTCATATGGTCGGTTTATAGTGTGTATGTGAACTATTGTGACTTAATATATTTTTTTACGCAGGGTATCCACAATATTCAAATTATTCTTCGCTATATTTTGTAGTTCAAAACACATTATTTTTCTAATATGTCACATTTTGTCAACTAATAATTAAGTGTTTAATGTCAATTGTCATTTGTCATAAATATCATTGACACAAAATTATTCACAGATACAAAATTAATATTTTAAAATGATGTCTTTGTACAGCGTTCAATACTTTGTGGTTGCTCTGAGTTTTATTTTTTTTAATTGTTGTTTAACCTGCTTATCACTGTCTGTTTCTTTTTGTTTTTTTTTGTTGTTATATTATTTAGAAATGTTTTTTCTTTTGCAGTCAACTTATGCATGAGTATAGTATAATATTAATCTTAATCATATATTTTTTTTTATAGTATTTTTATTGTATATTTGGTTGTCTTTATATATATTTATATATTTTCTATATTTATATTAATATTTAAGTATTATGTATGATATCGAATATATTTCTTGTTCTTCTTCGGATGATTTTGAAAGTGCTGAAAATAGTTTAAACGCTTCTATTTCGGATGAAGGTACACTTGAACAAAAACTGTCAAAGGTATTTCCAAATAATTCTAAATTCCTTACCCTAGTGCATATTAACGCGCAGAGCATTCCTGCTCACTATTCAGATCTTCTCGCATCTTTTAGTACCGGCGTAGTCGATTGTATACTTGTGTCTGAAACCTGGCTTAAACCCTCACTCCCATCGACTAGTTATTCTCTTCCAGGATATCAGCTTTTTCGGAATGACCGTACTGGTCAGGGTGGTGGCGGCGTGGGTATTTATCTGCGCAGCAATTTACCCGCCTGTGTTGTTAAACAGTCCATCTCACTCTCAACAGGCTCTCTTGAATATATTTTTTTGGAATTAGTTATTCACGGCAAAAAAATTCTTCTTGGTGTTTTGTATTGCCC